TATATATATATATATATATATATATATATATATATATATGAAATTATAATTTATCAATACACATTAATGCCAATTATTGAGATGAGGATGAAATCATACTGTTACTGTTGCCTCTTCAAGCTCTTACTTTAAGATCAATATTTGGTGAGAATATTGATTTGAAAATCTGAGATGAAACGATATGGATATTTTTGGACAACCTTGGGATTTTTAACTTATTTTGACTGAGTAAAAAGGTTTTTCCCGTAGGCAGCAATTATGTAGCCTGTACAGGCCCAGTTTCACCATTTACTTGGAGGAGGAAGACTACACTAAGAAGCGGGGAAAAGAAATGTGCCAGGTATAATCTGACAAACCAACTTTTCCTGTACTCCCCAGTAATACAGTTCGTTTCTTCGAAGTCTTTATTTTTTCAAAGAAATAAACTAAGTTCTTACAGAATTGGCTTGCTTCCTAGCTTGATTTATCAGGTCCTTAATGTGAGAAATGTTCTTCCCCAGATTATCTTGAAGTTGTTTGATTGGTTTCAATTTATCCATCAACCGATCTGCTTCTTTACCCAGATTTTTAACAGTGTCATCTGCATCAGCAACTTTATGTGAAAAAACAAAACAAAAACAGAGCAGATTAAATTTTGGATGCAAGCGCTATTAATAAAAACTGAGAGCACTCTGGGGCAGTGATTTATAAATCAAAAATGAACTCTTCCCTTGATTCTCTCCTCTCAAAAATTTGCATCATGGGTAATTTGTTAAAACATGTCATTATACCTGAAATAGAAAACTGTAGGTTAATTTTGCACTCTGGCCAATGGTACAAAACATTTTCTTACTTCATATGGCCACGTGGATTTTATTATTAAGGAAGCTACCTGATCTGGATGGATCCTTGGAAAATGATGGTTTAAATTAGCCATGATACAAATTTTAAAATAAGAATGTCAGGAGTGAAAAGAAAGATGTTACATTCATTTCTAAATTCATGAACTATGTTTAAAACTGGGGTTGCTATGCTCAAAGCAATCTGCAGTGATCATATTAAAGATGGCAAATCATTGTCATTTTAATTTGAATTTTATAACTTGCTTTAAAGGCAAAATAGCAAAGCAGCAAGAGTTAGAAAAGTGCTCCGGGGAGCAAAGGTTTCAGGGCTTACATTCTTGCATTGCGGAACTGTTTTGAATTAAAAAATAACTTATTTGCCAATTAATATATGAAGTGTTTCATATCTCAAACATACCCTAAATTTGCAAAATTTGAATAAACATGACAACAGGAACTTCAGAGCATGGATCAGCATGAATAAAACAAAATAATATAATGTCCATAGATGGTTTCATATATCATATGTACAATGGGCCCCACGTGTAGATTTGGTACTGTAGCAGATTAATATCTCTGCATATCCTAAAAAAAATAATAATGCAAGATTCCAAACCTTACTAAAAACTGTTCTCATAGATCTCTACCTGCATTTGTCTGAAACCATCTTCAGGGCATGGTAATCTAGAAAAAGGAACAATACATGGGTGGACCTGGCAATCTTGGCAATATGTATAATCCCAATCATCTACTGTATATGAGGCAGTTAGGGTTTCTGGTTTGTTAGATTAAAAAAATCTAGTTGGCTTTGGAAGGTCACAAACAACCCATAGTGCCTTCTTCTATGGAGTCTCATCGATCTCTGGTATTCCTGTTTGCTTTTTCATGGAAAGATGCATAATAGTGAGTACACTAATTATGTATTTGAATATGAAACATCTTCGATAGTCCATCCTGAGTCTACTGCTTAATAATTAGAAAGCTCTAAGCTCCAACAAAATGCAGCAAAATGTTTGTATGTGCATGGGAATATACTGAATTCACTCTACTCAAATTTTTTCTTCTTCTGTTGAGTGTTTTAGATGACTATTCAGACTGAAAGTATTATGTTTAATTAATTAAAAATTGATAGCTAGTGACAATGATTGCTGTGGTATTCAGTGTGAATGTGGAGCACTTACACTGAAGAACCCCTGTTTTTGTTATCTGAATGCCTGGACATTCATCCTCAAGATGCAAGAGAAAACTAGTGAATAATGACAAATGTAACAAGTTTTCAACACATTGGAAAGTGTACAGATTGATTGATCTGCATGTTAGAATATGTAGATCTTTCCTTTGTTTATTTGTTGAGCTTTTGAATGGAAACATTTCTTAATTTTTAAAATGTGTTTGATAGATATATATGACTATCTAATAACAGAGCTAGGTTTCATTCCTTTTTCATAGCAAAGCTGCTTGGATAAGTTAGTATAAGTCTGGAACACAACAGCTATTATTAGACAACGCCTAACATAGTAACCATGCAAATATATTTTTAAAAAGAATAAAGTGCATGAAGTTAAAACCTTATACGTACTGATTCCTGTAGGCAAGTTTTGAAGCATTTTTTGAAAAGGAAAAGAAAGAATTTTTAAGTAAATTAAAAATAAATCAACAGCAATATAAAACAAATTGGTGACTGAACAAAAAAAAATTGGAAGTGGGCACAGTTTTCCTGGCTGAATTATGCTGATTTGAAGTAAGTGGGATATTTTCTTTTAGGACTTTTAGAACATGGTAACTAGCTGATCTATAGATAATTAAAACTTGGTTAATGAATATAAAGGCCGTAAGAATGTTTTTTATTTGATATTACCATGAATCGGTGAAGATGTAATATTTCCTCATCTCATAATTATGTTGCTCTTCCTGTCTTCTCCACCTTTTGGGGGGGGTTATGCATATCCCTATTTCTCTGGCTTAAAGTTTTTCTTTCTCATGTTGGTACGATTTCAGGCTCCATTTTAAAACTAACTATGGGGTAAAGATAGAATGTTAATGGAAGCTCGTGCAGAAAGAAGAATGAAGGGGACATTTAAGTGAGAAATGGGAGAAGTAAGAGTAAAGGATCAAGACAGTTTGCAAGAAAATCCTGATCTCTTTACTCCAGTTAAAATTGAAATGGCAAGTACAGCTCAGGAAAATGCACATCTTCAAACATGATTAGAAATAAGCAAAATGGCAGGGATGAACAGACTCTAGTCATTCAAGATCTATTTGACATTTTACTTCCCCCACTCCCCCAAATCCTCTAAATGGAGTGAGACACCAAATAATGGTTCAAGCAGAGATGGACACTTCTGAAAATGTGTTCAGCCCAGAAACTCAAGCAGACTAAAGCTCAAAAGTCTTTTAGCACCACAATCACCAAGTGTTGTTTTTCTTTTCTAATTAAGACTTACTGGTATTGCTAGACTTCTGGGAATCTGAAGCCCCTGTCAGTCTGGTCAAATGACTCTAAATTGGATTGTGTCCATGCTGGCTGTATGCCAACAGTTAAATTTAGCTGAACTGTAATAGCAAACTATCTTCAGGAACACCATTCCTGACTTTTGCTAGAAGATATTTCTAATTCACAGCAATAAAAATCTTCAAATAATAAATAATAAAACTGCTCTCTATTCAAAAAAGAAAGAATAGATTTGTGGAGATATAACAGTGCAATTTTGGGGGGACATTTGTTATTATAAAGATTCAACAATTCAAAGCCCATTTTCCTCTAGTCTTATGGAAACTACTGATACAGCGATGTCTATGCTGGCTTGGGCATGTCATGAGGATGGCTGATGGTCGGATTCCGAAAGACCTCTTGTATGGAGAATTAGTGCAGGGAAAGCGCTCTAGAGGGAGACCACAGCTGCGATATAAGGATATCTGCAAGAAGGATCTAAAGGCCTTGGGAAAGGACTGCTGGGAACAGCTGGGAAACCTTGACCTCTGATTGTTCAGCTTGGAGGCTAAAGAGCCGGCATGGCCTTCTTCAATTCAAAGAGACACTTGTTTGGCAGGCTGAGGCAAAGGGGCAGTCCCGGAATCAGCGAAATTCAGGGGCTGGATAGACTGTATCTGTCCTCGATGTGGAAGGGATTGCCACTCTCAAATTGGCCTTTTTAGCCACACTAGATGCTATTTTAAGACCTCTTTTCAGAGCACAATACCATAGTCTCTTGAGACTGAAGGATGCCAATTCAATATGGAGACCTCTATCTTTTCCCTTTACATTTTTTTCTGGTGAAATAATATATATATTTCCCTATAAATTATATTTTCCTGCATATTGCAAAGATGATCAGATCTGGAATGTGTCTCTATGTATCCCAAGGGTGATCCACTCATTGAGGCAATATAAAGTAAAAAAAATGGTTATTCATCTGCTAAAGGTCACATAGAACCAATTTGGTGTAGTGAATAAGGAATCAGGCTAGAAACTGGGGGACCATGCGTCCTAGTCCCATCTTGGGCATACCACTTTCTTTCAGCCCTAGGAAGAAGGCAATGGCAAACCATTTCCGAAAAACTTTGCCAAGAAAACTGCAAGGACTTGTCCAAGCAGTCTCTGAGAATCAGACACAATTGAATGGAAGAATCAAAAACAGGTCAGCTATGTTAGAGACATTTTTTTCTCAATTCTACCAGTAATATAGTGCTTTTCAGTGAATATAACAAGTAAAGGTTCAGCATAAAATATGTTCCTAACATACCTATATTACCCAAGAGATTATAATACATCTTCTACAATCAAAAGACAGCTTTATTATAACTTTTCCATTCAATTAATTATACCGTATACTTACCTTATTTGCTCAAACTACAAATGCTTACCATTATTTCTACTGTCCTGGGAATGAGCTTTCAAGGACATTTTTATTGCTAAGAGCTGAAGCTATTTTTTAATATCAAAAGCAATGTGTTAAGAAGGCAGAAGGCAATGGAAAACATGCTGCTAATTAAGTGGTATTTTGAGTATACAAAATAATGAAGGAATTATGTATGGAATATCACCAGAAAGGTCTAATTTTTAAAGCATGTGATATCATCATTCTTCTCTCTATATACATAAACTTTACCAACCTTAATAGGTGTTGAAAAGTGCATAACACCATAATTTAAATCAGGGGAAGGAACAACCCTTGCATTTCAGAAGATTTAAAAAAAAGAAAGAAATCCAAGAATATAGGCATAATAAGGTCTTACTATTTTTAGTAGGATCTTTCAACATAGCATTTGTTTTGGCTGCATCATCTGCAACTTTTCTGTATCTGTCTTTTAATCCAAGGAGGTTTTGATTGAGATCTCTGATTTTAGCCAGTACCTCATTTGCAGTATCATTAGCTTGCTTGGCTTTGTCTTTAACTGCTTGTACTTTGGCTGCTGTATCTGTAAACAGGAGGAGGGTAAAAGAATAGAACCAAGAGACATTTTATTTATTTGATTTTTATCCCATCTTTATTTTTTTAAACAAATAACTCAAGACAACAGACATATCTACTTATCACATCTTGTACATACAAGTAGTATTATATTAACTGATTCATTTATCAAACTTCTTAATCACCTATATCCCTTGCAGAGGGACTATTTGAGTTGTGTTGGGTCCAACTTCGAGACAAAACCTTTTTTGTTTGTTTCTGAAAGGGTAAATATGTATTTTTTAAAAAAATTAAACTTAAAAACCTATTTATTTTCACTTATTCCAAGAGAAAAAACAACAACCATGAACCCCTCTGAACTAACAAGAGTCACACATTGTTAGTGCTGTAACAACAATGACATCAGTAAATGTGCCCATAACATAACATCACAATATGATGAAATATCAGCAAAACAGAAAATACAACCCAAATACATATTAACTGAACTGAACTGTCTGAATTGTTTTTTAGAATCTAAATTTACATAGGAAAAAAGAAGGGCTATACCAGTGGTGGGATTCAAATGATTTAACAACTGGTTCTCTGCCCTAATGATTTCTTCCAACAACCAGTTCACCAAACTGCTCAGAAACTTAACAACCAGTTCTCCCGAAGTGGTGCGAACTGGCTGTATCCCACCACTGAGCTATACTTTCATGTTTTTATACCCTTAATTTTTGTTGACCTGCAAATCATTGTATCTACTGGACTGGCAAAGATAAGTTCACAGTTTCTTGTAAGTAGGTTTAATTAACTTTCTTTTAAATCAAAGAATTTCAGCAAAATTTGTCATAATGAATGTATCAGGCTGGTCTGTAAACAATTTGGTTCCCCTGATACACAATGTGTTTTAACTCCTAGGCAAGTAGCACAATGAACTATGATGTCATGACTATTTACTTCACATAATTAAAACGCTGGCAGCAGATCTTGGCTTCCATTTGCTGCTGTAAGTAACAAATCCTACATTCAATTCCAGCTGCTTTCGGAACAAATTGCTTAGGTTTCTTCAGAAATGATGTTCTTTACTCAACTTGACTTTTTTCGCTCTGAATATTTGCTCCTTTCTTAGCATTTTTACTATAACAGCAAGGAGAGGCACTTTGGGAAAATGAACTAAAATGATGGATTGGTTGGCAGAATGTCATCTTTCATTGCTTTTAAAAGAAAAAAGAAGGACTTCTAAGAATGGGAAGAAAGCGAATGCTCTTGCTAAACCAAAAGAGGGAAAAAAAGAATATCAAGTTGTTTTCCTTCTGTGGCAAGCAATATACTAACATATCTCAAAGAACCAAAACAGACAAGAGAACTTATGGGACAGAGTAGAAAGCATAATATATACACAGATTTTTCAAAAGTGGAAGATCAAAACCAGAAATATATTGAGCCCAAACTCTCAGCATACTGACACGTCTTATTAGAGCTGAGCTATTGGGCTGTGATGATAATTCTAACAATGCTACTTCTACTGTGTTTGGGTGTGCCAAAATGATATCCCTGGTTTGGAAGCATTGGATAAAGTTCAGCAGTCAGGAGAGGAGAAGACAGCAGTCACAGCCACCGCTCAGTGACAATGATCAACAAGTGACATCATGGAGAAAGACACTGGCAGACAGAATGAAATGTGGGGGAACCTGAGCAAACTTTCCAGGGGTCTTGGAAGGGTTTTCTTTTAAACTTAATGGCATCACTATATATCTTTAAAGAGAAATATACCTCTGCCTGCACTTAGTGTCTATTCAGGGGTGTCTGGTGACCCATGGGCCAGATGCATCACATGCAGGCCACTCCCGCCCCAGTTCTGCGAAGGGGAAAAAGTTGCAAAATGTCATGTGACGGCAACATTAGTGGTGGGATTCAATTTTTTTTACTGCCGGTTCTGTGGGCATGGCTTGGTGGGCATGGTGTGGCTTGGTGGGCGTGGTTTGACGGGTGGGGCAGGGGAAGGATACTGTAAAATCTCCATTCCCTCCCCACTCCTGGGGGAAGGTTATTGCGAAATTCCCATTCCCTCCCCATCCCACTAGTCTGCTTTCCACCTCAGTTCTCCTTTGCAGGACAACAAAAGAAGACCCATAAGCCGATAAGCTGGGACTCGGGAGGCAGAGAATAAATGGAGGGCACAACCAATCAGAGGTGGGATTGGCCGGTTCTCTGAACTACTCAAAATTTCTACCGGTTCTCCAGAATTGACCAGAACCTGATGAATACCACCTCTGGGTAATATGATGATGTGAGTTTGACACCTATGGTCTATTTTATGAAAATATTTAGATGCAGAAAACAAAGATATGATATTGATGCATTTCTTACATCAATATCATTTGAAGGAAGGAAGGAAGGAAGAAGAAAGAAAGAAAGAAAGAAAGAAAGAAAGAAAGAAAGAAAGAAAGAAAGAAAGAAAGAAAGAAGAGGGAAGGAAGGAAGGAAGGAAGGAAGGAAGGAAGGAAGGAAGGAAGGA